CATGACTACGCAACGTCATAAGGGGGCGGGGCCAGAGCGTCCGCGTGCACTCACTCATTCGTTTCGAGGACTTTGCGTCGCGAATGGGCAAAACTACCAAGAAGCAGGTGGACACGTTTCCCCTCCGGACTCTCTGCTTCTGCCTGGCTTCCTTCTGGTTCCCCGTCAGAGGTAAAAACGTCTTTATTTAATCACAAACTTCCTGTTAAGTTTAACGTTTACGCGTTAAAGGAGAATGACGTAAGAAAGGTGTGTCTTATTATTCCAGGTGTTTCAGATATAAATCAATCAATGTTTATTTATATAGCACCTTACAACAACCAGAGGTGACCAATGTGCTTTACAGTAATTAAAACAGATCAAACTATCAAAATATACAAAGACAAATGCATTGGTGAAAGAACCCAGTTTACAGTGATTTTAAGTGCAAAATCACTGTAATATGGTGAAGGTGCGGTTTTCTATTTCAGTTTTATTTATTTTATATGAGCAGGAAAAAGTTTCGAGAACATCCAAGAGGTTTCCATAACAAAAAAACAACAATGGTTACGTTATTTACGTCACGTTTGTTTATTTCCATGAGTCACCATGACGACTGACGTCATAAGGGGGCGGGGCCAGAGCCTGGTATATAGAGTTGAGCCCTCCGCGTGCATTAATTCGTTTGCAGGACGTGAGGATGCCAATGGCAGAAGCTGCCCAGAAGCAGGTGGACACGTTTCCCCTCCGGACTCTCTGCTTCTGCCCGGCGTCCTTCTGGTTCCCCGTCAGAGGTAAAAACGTCTTTATTTAGTCACAAAAACCATTTCCGTACCTCACACATTCAGATTTTTCTGCGGCCAAACAGCAGCTGAATGCTATATTAGGATTTCTGTCTTCCTGACAAACAGGGAAATGTTGATTTTATTTATTTATCAGCCAAATGCCGAAATGCTCACATACAGACCACTTAAAGTATTTAACTTTATTTAAAGTCCACAACGCTTGTGTGCTGAGCGGGGCGCTAAAACCCTTAAAAACCTGGTGGTGCAAACAGAAACAGGTTTGCAGAGCTCATAAATCTGCAGAACTGTTCATATCTATAACTA